GACCGTCCTTTGCGTAAGCATAGATAGAGTTGCTGATGATTAGCTGAAAGGCAGATCCTCACTATTCAATTTTTGCTTTACCAACTCTCCAGGATGCCTGGTTAGCACCAAAACAGGCTGGGATGGATTCCGTGGTCACCCACTGAACAGCCCTAGGTGAAACACTCGGGCGCACTGAGCACAGACACAGTTCTGCTTCTGATGGGTTGTCGCAGAAGAAACCAAACTAAGATGATGATGCTACTAACTAAACCAAGATAGCCTAACACGAGATAGGGAGATCAGAACAAAGAATTATGCCAAAGCAAAGCAAGGTGCTCAGAAACAGCGATACAGAGGTACTGCTATGGAAATCATGCCCAAGCACCTTCCTGTCTCAGCTCTGTGTGGGGCTGGCCATGCTCCTCCGGCCACACTGCTGCTTCCCTTTAAGGAACTTCCCTTCCCTTTGGATGCTATTTCTACTGCGAATAGCAATGATTTCAGAAAACACAGCTGACCAGATCTGATGTGGTCACAACACTGGTCACAACGTTTCTATGGGCAGCAGCAGAAAAGACTAAGGTGATAAAGGTGTGTATGAATTTGTACAAGGAAAAACTGAAATGAGTTAAATGTCTTCATAGCAACCTCAGGTCTGCATGCAAGTTCTGGACAGAAGACAGTGCACTGGGTTGCTCTCCTGGTGCTCATGCACAGGGGCTTAGCAATGAACATGATCTTACTGTGTGCTGGAGACCTGTGCATATATTGTTGCAGTGCAAGACATCTTCAAGTGAATAAAACCACACTCAGATGACCACCAAGATCCATTTGCTACCAACATCCTTAACATCACCAGGCTTAAAACTCCTTTTTTCCTTTGTTCGTTTTTTGACCTAACAGACTTAACAGTTATCTATATGCATTTTTTTTAAGACCTGAGAAAAATGAAGCCTACTAGGTTTCCTAAGAATGTGTTCATTAGGCTCTTAAAATCTCCTTACCTACACTGGAACACCACCTGGGTTGGGACAGCATAATCCATATCTAAGTATATGGATGAAGAGGCTGGCTGAAGGCATAGGGGGAACCTCAAGTGCAGCAAATAGGCTGGTGGAAGTGTCACAGAAATGAATAAGCAAAAGTAGACAGGGCGAGAGGACAGCAAGCAGGAGCTGAAAATCATTTAACTTTTCTAGAAAACATAGCCCAAAATTACTCCCCAAATACTGCTGCGTGCCTTGAAATTTAGTACTAGTGGTGGATTCCTAGTCATCAGTCAAAAGAAAGGGGAAGGCAGCAACTAGTCCTGAGCATCTATCCTGACATTCTTGCCATCAACTTCAGCTGCAAGAGCAAAGTCCCCACATCCCAGCTCTGAGCAACAGCTTGCAAAATTTATGCTTGCTGCTTTTTCTTCTGAGCATCCTAACTCATTTACTCTGCCACATTATTCCTTGAAAAACACTGCAAGTCCTGCAGGAACAGAAGAGTTATGCCCTGTAACACTGCACACACAAAGTGCCGTGCACCATGAAGTTTTTGGCTTCCTAGAAATGTCATCACCACTGTCAGAACCAGAACGTTGAATTTAACAACTGTGTGATCTCACCTTAGTGAGTTACTGCTTAGTGATCTACAAAACTTATTCTATTCTCACCTGACCCCTCTGTTTCCATTTAATCCATTTTGTCTTCTCATCAGCCTCTGCTGCTATGCCTTCCTCCTCTTCTTCTGGTCCCCTTCTCCCTGACCATATGGTGTTTGTTTTGGCTGCAAGAGACATTAATTTCATTATTCATGAGGCGATCTTGTTCTAGTTTAAAAAAAAAAAATCTGCTAACAAACCCTAGTACTTGATAAAATTAAGGAAGATAATTAATGTTATTAAATAAAATTATTAGTTTTTGAGAAGCAATATTTGCGAGCCAGTGGGAAGAAGTCACTAATAACATGTGCCTAACAAAAATTCTTAGTAAAAGCACTAGAGGCTCTTGCTTCAGAGATTCAAATTCTTGATGGCCTCAGTTACGCATAGATTATATAATTCTTGTGCCAGGAAAAGAAACTGCGTTAAATACAAACAAATCCCAGTACTATCTACCTTAAGAATGGTGATCAGTGAAAGATAACTTGCTATGTGCAAAAGCAATGCCCAGAAACAGTGCAGAAAGCACAAATTCTTTTTATCATCTGGTTCAAAATCATTCCCTTTTTCCATTTGCTTTGAAAAAACAAAACAAAATTAAACCTTTCTTGTTATTTGGCAGGAAGTCTTCAACAGTTTTGGGTTTCAGTACTCAAAAATTGCTTGCAGTATACTTCAGTAACTGCTATTTGTCTGGCACAATATTACCATGAGATCTGGGAACACAGGGATCTCAGAAGCAACAATGACCCAGTAAATCCTGAAGATCAGAAACCTTATTTACATTTGATATGCAACTCAAACAGGGCAGCTGATCATTTGACCTTGTTTGTACTGGGATTTCAAGCTATTATATCTACGTTGAGGATTTAAAGAAAGCAACAAACAAAAAACAAAGAAACTGCTTCAACTAAAATCACAGCTAATTCAGTTTTACCTTTTTTTTTTTTAATTTCATAAAATTATATTGTGACGTTTCAGAGATGGCCACACAAAGTGCACAGTTTTGCTTGCACAGGATTTGAAGTTCCTGTTTCAAGAACCTGTAGGGACGGTGCTTCGGAGAAAGAGCATCGGAAAATGCAGCCAGCCGCTGACTTCTCCCCCAAACACGGATCCCTGAACTGAACAAGGGCTATGTAAACTGCACTTACCGAGAGAGGATTTCACAGGCAGAGAAGAGGAATGGTCCTTTGGCAGAGATCAGCAGTGAGGCTGTCCGTGGACGGTGGTCCACAGCTGAGCAGGGCAGTATTTGGCCACTAGCAGGACTTGAAGGCGGCAGCCCAGGTAATCCCACCTATCTCAGTAACATCCTGAGCCTGAAAACAAAACTCCTTGAGCTATCTGAGAGTATAATAGGAATGAAATATCACAGATAAGACTTTTGGAAAACTGACAAAAATAAGCTGCAGTTTTGCAGTGTGATGATTTAAACAAGCTTAGAGCAGACTAACTATGTTCAGCTCATTTTTCTCATAGGAACAGTTTTCTCACTGTGGTCATTTGCCTTCAGCAGTTAAAAAAAATTACAAAAAAAAACAACAAAAAAAAAGGCAGGGAATCAAAGAAAGTTCAAGATCAGGCTTTTTAGCAAGCATTGGAGAAAAAAGATAATTACAAAATACCTAGTTTCAAGGAAACCTCAAGAAGAATAAAGGAAAACAACCATTTTCAATGATTGAATTCATTTAAGAAACAGTCTGTTTTTAAATAAGAGGCTCAAATTAACTTTAATGAAGATTTTCAGTGTTCTTGCCTAGACTACACTAAGGACAGTCCCCATTTTAGTCAAATCAAGTCAAATGTCTGCACACATTATAACTGTGCAAGACTGTGGACCTAAGAGTACATAGATGATCTTAAGTTAGCCATACAATTAAGAATCTTTATTAGCCAAAGAGCCTATATAATCTATGCTACTTAAGAGCACTAATTAAAACGATGTTCTCCAAGAATGTTTGGCTGAAGTTCACTTTTTCATTGCATTCTATTTCTCATTAGAAGCTGATTTCCTTTTTGTCCTTCCTGTACTATCTTCTAAAAACAAAGATTATTCCTTTTATTTTCAGAACTATCTGAGCCTATTACCAGCCAATGCCTAAGGAGTATGTTACACATTGTGATTATAACTTAAGCCAAACGAGCAAACAAACATTGAAAACATTTTACTATTAAAAAGAAACATTTACCTTCACTGCTTGCTTACCCAATCTTCTCCAGGTGCCATTTGCCTGCTGCTCACCCATAGCCCGGAGTAAGCAAACAAGATACACGAACAGCTCCTAATACACCCACCACAGATGCGTTCACTCACTGGCAAATTATGGTTTGTTCAAAATGAACAACATGGAAGACAAGAATAAACTTGCAAGACAAAGTCCGATGCTGCTGCTTTTTATTCAGAGCCTGTTTGTAGCTCACTGGGGATATTGAACCAGGACCGTGTGTGCCAGGCTCTGGGTCACCGAAGACCGAAGCCATCCCAAGAGTCCTGGTAGCCCTGAGGAAAGGCTGATATTTTCTGCCCTGTCCAAAAATGTAGGGAAGAGCAGCAGTACCCTTTCCAGAACCATAGCATCTTGACCTCTCAAACCACCAGAGACAACAGGAAGTACATTTCAACTTTATTAGAAAAAAAACCCCAAAGGTTTATACAAAGCTCTGCATTTCACAGAAAACCATCCCTCCCCACCATCCCCGCAAACACAAAGAAATCAAACATGGCAAGCTGTATGCATTTTATCATATATATATACACATATATATACACGTGTGTGTGTGCGTATGCATGTGTGTGTACACGCATATTTGTTTATATATATATATAGCGTGACATGGATTTTTTTTTGCATGGTTTGCATTATTTTACAAAGTTAACGTTCAGTAGAAAAAAATGATTTGTTACTATTATTTTCTCATATAAATAACTTTGAGCAGTCCCTCTGCAGATAGTTTAAAAAAAAAATCTTTTCGTGTCATTCTGTAAAAAACAGACATTACTGAAATGGTATTGAAATCTTAAGGTTTTTTTCAATACCACCATAAAAATATCATCTAGTCCCCAAATCAAAATGCTTGTCCAAGGCATAAGAGAAAGGACTGTAAGACAATTCTGGAAAGTTCAGTTCTTTAAGCCAACATTCAGGTAGATAATGTTTGCTGGAAATCATACACAGGAGTGAAATGAGCACAAATGGGAGGCCACCTTCTCTGCCTGCGTCCAGCTGTGCCGCAGAGCTGACAGGCTTTCAGCTCATCCTTCTTGCCCTGAACTAACTAAAGCCACTGACTTCCCTGATGCGGCTGAAAAATCTACCACTTCAGCAAACTGCTGCACCATTCACCCTAAATGAAGCTGCTGGCCTAATCATGGCATGGCTAGACAGAGACTAGGCTGTGAGAGGAAAACTTAAGCCAGTGGGGAAATGAAAGACAACTAAAAGGTAGAAAAATGCTGTAGAAAAGAGCCACTGGACAGGCTCCCAAGGCTCTGTTTTGAAGCAGGAACAGTAGAGATGCGAGTTGCAGCTCAAAACATTCTTGTGTTTGCTGAAGTTAAGGGTGACACAGTCCAAGTGAATTAACTGCCCGGTAAACAATCATTCCTTCTGTCAAGCACCACGATGGGGAGAATGGCGAAGATTGTGAAGGCAATACAAGCAGTAGTGGTGGTAACAAAGGTAATGGACGTGAGGAACACAATGATGTAGATTAAATGGAGAATGATGCCAACGAAGATGCCTGTCAGAGATGTTGGCAACAAGAAGGATGGTTATATGGTTGGTGTTGGTGATGGCCATAATTCATTCATATGTCCATGTAGTCATCATCTTCATCAGTATCACTTTCCAGTGAGGACTCCTGGCTTGAAGTCTCTAAGATTTCCAAAGCTGGCTGACAAAGGCTCTCCTTCTTTACATTCGCTGCAGACTGAGCAGACAAAATAGCAGACTGATCCCAAAAAGAGAGAGAGAGAATATATTGCTAAATGGTCAGGATAAACCCATGATCACAGGGACAAAAGCCAACTGGCTGCTATTGCTTCACATTCATAAGCCCTCTTATTTCTATAAACATATGGCATCCTAATGTGAAACAATATAGCATTTACCTGTAGGCTACCCCACATTAAAATTCTACTAGCTTCCACTAACACAGAACTGCAGTGTCTGCAATACTTCCCTCACCCATTTTTGTAACTCTTAATTCCCACAGACAAGGGGCTAGGATAGCTGTGATTTCACCAATGGCCAGTATTTCACTAGTCCTTAAAAACTGGCTCCTCCTTACAACAGCTAGCATCTCATTCCGTTACTTAAGCAAGCCCCAGAACTGGGGACAGGAACTATTGCTCCTGCACAAAGGGTTTTTATTTAGGGGAGAATTAAGATAAAAACAAGCATCTAAAAGTTAGTGCTTCCCTTTTATTACCTTTAATTTTTGCTTGGTCTCTTCTGAAATGCTGCCCTTTGGAGAAAGGAGGGTGGGAGTGGGTGGAGTGACAGTGATCTCAGGTGGAAATTTGGTGATAGATGAAGGTATGAAAAGCTTTGGCATGTTGGGCAGAACGCGAGTTTTTACACGGGTGCCATCTGTCTTGCTCTGCTGACTTCCCAAGGTCTGTGAGCTGGAGCTGAGCTCAGGCTTGGAACTGGAGGCTAAAGAGAAAATAGTAAGAAAAAAAAAAAACTTTAGGAGGCTATCTATGATTTCAAATGTCAAAGGAGAGGAAAAAGTAGATTGTTAGGCATATGGTTGGCTGGCTTTTTTTCAAGCCTTACTTTAATTAAGGCTCAGAAATAGAAGAAGAAAGTGCCTCAAGATTCCACAGTGACAACTGGAAAGCAGTAGCAATTTTTAAAAATCTTACTGTGTAACAGAAACTTAGCCTGTGTGCGCCAAGCAGGACAGACGACAGTGTAGCCTTGATCCATTTACATCTAGTTAGGAGGCTACTACAAACATTCGCTTGCTGTTTTAGATCTCATCATCTTGTTTTTGCATTCTCTAGTGTTTGCCACATTGTAATGCAACAAATAGAGATGCTTATTTTTTTTTCCTTAGGAGGCTATTTTAAACTTCCTCCTCTACAGTATCATCTCCTTTTCCTACTGTTGTTGAGATGTCAGCTCCTATATACTATACATTCACATCGTCAAGCTCCACCATCCACTCGGTGCATTTTTCAAGGAAGACCTTTGTGCTTTCTGCTAAAGGAAACAGTTGTCCTCCCAGGTTAAGAAATATATATGGCAACACCCCCCAAAATTACTTCATTATTCTCTTCAAATATTGCCATAAAAAACCTCCTTTGGTGTGATGTCCAAAAAAGATGATCCCTGTTGTGCTCATGCCCCTCTCTGCCACACTGTTTAGCACTGTCACATCATTTCTGCATATTCCTCAGGGACCTCAGCTTGCAGCCTTTACAATGCAAACTCACTCAGACAGGGCTCGTCTCCTTCGGTTCTTCAGCAAACAACAGAGAGGTACCTGGCCCTTCCTAAGACACTCTCATATTCCAAAATAATACATACACTTAATGATAAGCACAATGGGACTGATTAATAATTCTGCTTCATGTACAGTCAGAGCTATCTTTTTTTTTGCCAGCTTCCTGATTCTATCCTGAAAAAAAAACAAAAAACAAAGTGGCAGCACCAGCTATTGAGGGATGTTTCAGCAGAATAAAAGAATGTAAAAACTGCCACTCCAACTGTGGCATGGATTTCCATCAAGCTCTGTGACCCATCACCAAACACAACCAATTATTTCAGAGCAGAGTGCCAGAAATGTTGCAGTAATCAGATACAGGTCAATCTGCTGCTCACAGAAAAAAGGAGAAAAAAAAAAAGATACAGAAACAAGTATCTAAAGAATGTCCTCCATAAATACTACATATACTTTTTTTTTGGCCAACCACCCTCCTCCCCCTTTAAAATATCATCTCTACTTTTTTAGGCTAGGAGGCAGAGGAGGGACAGAAAACATTAACTGCTGTAAAGCTGGGTATTTATGTTACCCTGACTTAGTATGAGTATTGCAAAAAATTGTTTCCTTCTGCTAACTATTCCAATATTAATTAAAAGAAGCACAGCATGAGTGTCAGGTATTGGCTAGTCTTGTATTTGGTTTGAATGATGTGGTATTTAGTATGACTCACACATCAAAAAGAACAACCATTAAGGGACAAGGCACTGCTCCA